AGCCCGCAGCCCGCGCTCCCCGGAGCGCTGGAGACCACCGCGGGGGGCCCCTTCTGCCTCCCGGAGAAGCGGTCTTGGAGCTATTGATTTCGGCGGTTGGATTTTTTCCGTGGATCTATCAATTCACAATTCGAATTTGGAAGAAAGAAGGAAAACATGACGTCCCCAGCCAAATTCAAAAAGGATAAGGAGATCATAGCAGAGTACGACACTCAGGTCAAAGGTAAGGGCTTGGAGGCACCGCGCGAGGCGTGTGCCTGGGCCACTGAGGCAGGCATTCCCTCCCTGGTGTGCAGGACCGTCATTGCTTTGGGTGGAGCAGGTAGGGGCAGGCTGACCCCAGAGGTGGTTCCATAGGGTGGTCTGGGCTTCTGAGAGATGGGCTGTGCCAGGGGCTACAGGCTCAGGAAAGGGATTTTGAGAGTAGGCTTTAGGATTTGTCCCTGTAGGGCTGGCCATTATTTTGTCCGCCCTTTCCCCCAAGCTGGATAGGGTGGGGGAGGGGCCGGAGGTTCTTGGAGAGAGAAAGGCGGCAATTTGCCTCTGGTTGTCTGGGTCAGGTTTCTTGAAGGACTACTGAAATCTGACAGGTGTTAGGGAATTTATTCCAGAGGTTGGAGAGGAGTCCAGACAGAGAAAGGCAACCTTGAGATTGTGTACCTTTTGGAGGGCCCTGAGAGGGGTGGGTTTTTTCTGATGTGCTATATCCAAACATGACATTTGCTGTGGCATCAGACACACGAAGTGTGTGGCCACTTTGGATACACCTTGTGCCTGCCTGGTCTCTGGTGGCCCTGCATTCAGCCAGAGATCAGAGAACAGAAAGAAAAAGGTCACTCACACCCGGTCTCCGCCCTCACCTAAACCTGAATGGAGTTGGGATCATAGGGCTGCTGGGTGGTGCTGATTCTGGAGGATGGGAAGACATAATTGTTTAATCCTTCCGCGTGGCCGCCCTCTGCTCTGAAATACGTGCTTTTCACGACCCACTTACCTCTGCAAAAATGTAAAGGGTAAAGCAGACTGTGGATCTG